AAAAACAATAATATGTGAAATCTTTGGATTTTTTTTATTTTTTATTTTTATCCTTATCCTGCATGTACAACGTTTGAATCAATATAAGAGCTTTTTTTACCCTATCTTATATATAAAGTCAACAATGAATAGTGTTTTTTTGGTGTCACAAGCTTCACTAAAAATTAATTGGACAAAAATACCCCTCAAGTAAAAAGCTTCAAAAGCAATCCAAAATAATGCATCAAATGTGGTAGGCTTATTTTCGTCATTTTAACAGTGTTTTTAATAATTATTTTTTTTTTCTACAATTTTTTTTTAATTAGTACCTCACAATAGGCTAGTAATAATGTTATTCAATTAGCTGTTCATTAAATATTATTTTCTCTATTTTTAAACATGTTCAAAACATCTTAAGAGGCGTGTAATGCCGGTTATATAAAATGTCTTTCGCACGTGGATAATAATGTGATTAAAATATTTGTCAAATGATTGTTTTTTTTTTTTTAACAAACGATATTATTTACACTAAGGGGGAGGGGATGCGTTTAGCCTCCCAATGGACTGGCAATAATATGATTCAATTAGTTGTTTATTAAATATTATTTTCTCTATTCTTAATGTAAATTCTATAGAGACCGATTTTATTACGTGAATTCAGTTGATTTAATTGGTTTATAAGATGTTTATTCTAGCATGATCTAATATTATTTATTTACTTCAAATATTTGACTTTCCTTTTGTTAATTTACGCATATAAATACATTTAAAATGTGTAAATCACACATAGCATGCTGTGATTTAAAAAATATTTTAGGCACGTATGTAAGCACGTGTATGAAGGCTAATATGTATAAATGCATCTATATAAACCGATATTATTACATTTCAATTCATTCCCGATACCTCCAAAATAAAACTCAAAATTGTATCTTAAATCGATGGAAAACCAAAAACAAGTTAGGGTGGTGTGAACAGCTATTATGTTCAAGGAAATGAAGTCTGTGTCGGAGTCAAACATTATACGGACAATTTGGTAGACAGTACATGTTGTTCTGTAATTCACTATTATGATCAGATGGTGTGGTCTTCAATTCAGAGTAGGATTCTCTCCCCTCCTATTACTATCCCCTTCCACCCCTTCCCCTCCTCTCACACTCTTCTTTTTATCTTATTCTCTATATAAAAAATTCAAAACAAGATGTAGACGTGGCGTAATTGCAGCCGTTTAAATAGGAGAGGATGGAAAGGGAGAGAGATTAGGAGGGGAGAGAATCCTACTCTCTTAAATTCTCCATGGCTTTGAGAGAGATTTTGACTGAAACACAATAGTAGTTTATTGATTATCTTTCTTGCTGCCCCCCTACCTGATTTAATTAATATGCATATGCCTAAATGAGTTTCCTGCTAGATTTGTATGTTTGTCTGTGCATACCTCCGTAACTGTTATGAAAAGAATGTCAGTCTGAAAAACTAGGTATAAAACTCGTAAATAGTAGTGTGGCATTCAGCAAGAAGAAAGCATAATCAGTTCCAGAGAGATAGCCAGTAGTATTCCACTCGGAAGATTTGGATTTTGCCTGAAGTGGGATTAGAATGTGCAATGCAGTGTGGGGAATATGGAAGTTAATTATGGTGGTCTTCTATCCACAGGTTGAGACACGGTGTTGCTTACTCTTTTTGTGGACTTGAGGACTGCCAAAACATTCTTATGTATCAGCCTACGGCATTGTTTCTTCCTGGGTCAGTTATCCACTGACTTTTTCTGAATTCATGTGTTTGCATTAGGCGGCTTTCTCAATTGTGAATTCATTTTGATCCAGGATATAGTCAAAGTGTGGTTAAGGCAGGAGTTTCAGTAAATGCACTGGCTTCATATACCACTAAATCCATTTTTATATGGTAAATAGTGGAAGTTTCAGCTTTATAATTCGGTTAAAGTTTAATTGATTTTATTTACTCTCTTGCCATTTTATGTTGCTTGACAAGTTTGGATTACCACTACGTTGACAGTATTATAATACTCTTTTTTCACATTTATTTCATATGGAATGCGCTACAGGTTCCCATCTTCCCTCTTTTTCTCAGTTTTATCTTTTTATCAGTACTGCAACATTACATCTGTTCATCTTTTTTGCGTTTAGTTTCAATAGTTTGGCTTTGGTTGCACCATCAAGCCCAAGTTCCTACATTGTGAAGAGGATATTGCGCTTGGATATTCCAGTAGATAGCTTTCCAAATGTAAGCCACTCATATAACTTGACAGTGCGTTAAGGGACGTTGCTAAATTGCAATCTTAAATTCAAAGTAGTTGGTTTAATGTTAACAAAAACATGTTACTGGGAGGTGTTTGCATGCGCAAGCGCACACACACACAGAGTTATTATTTAATAAGGTTCTTAAAATAAGTACATGTTTCTCAAAGCATCTCAGAATTCTCAGCCGCACATGATTTAATGATTCACTGAGAAAACAAGTTCCTATTTAAGGACCTTATCTCAGAATTCTCTTGTTTGTGGTACTGAAACTTGTTACTGGGAGGTGTTTGCATGCGCAAGCACACACACAGAGTTATTATTTAATAAGGTTCTTAAAATAAGTACATGTTTCTCAAAGCATCTCAAAATTCTCAGCCGCACATGATTTAATGATCGACTGAGAAAGCAAGTTCTTATTTGAGGACCTTATCTCAGAATTCTCTTGTTTGTGGTACTGAAACTTGTATTTTGTAGTTCAATTTTGTTGGCCGGCTTCTGGGTCCTAGAGGCAATTCACTAAAGCGCGTGGAAGCTTCTACAGGTTGTCGTGTGTACATAAGAGGAAAATGTTCAATAAGAGATATTGACAAGGTAGAATTATTACCAGTTTTGTCATTTATTAAGAAAATAAATTTTCATTATTTTAAATAAAGTTCATATTTTTCTTGCGTTTCCATTTTATGCTGTCTATTTTGTTTACGTATTTTGACACGTGTTTCTTGCCTTGTTATTCTCAAGGAGGAATCGTTGAGGGGAAGACCAGGTTATGAACATCTGAATGATCCACTGCACATTATAATTGAGGCTGAATTGCCTGCTAATATTGTTGATATGCGGTTGAGACAGGCAAAACAAATCATAGAAGAACTTCTTAAACCTATGGTATCGTTTCTGACTCGTCCCTTCGGCTTTCCAATACAAATACTTATTTTGCTTTTACGTGTTGCAACAAATCATGAAACTGATTTCTCCTTCCCTCGAGGGACAATACGTAGGTGTCCTTCATTCATATAAAAGTGCTTCTTGGTCTTTAATCGCATTTTTTCACACAAACTGTGAGCTATAACTCTCGGTTTTTAATCACATTTTTTCACAAAAATCATGGATATTAAATTCTCATTTTTCATTTCAGGATGAGTCACAAGGCCACTACAAGAGGGAACAGTTGAGAGAACTAGCTATGCTAAAATCCAATTTACGAGAAGAGAGCCCTCAACCGTATGGTGGTGTCTCTCCTTTCACTTCAAGCGGGATGAAGCGTGCCGAAACTGGTCTGTAATGGTTCACTTAACTCCTCTTCTATTGGTTCGTTCTCCCGTGCGACCCTTGAGCTTGCTTGCCAGCGTATGCTTCTCGGTGTAATTCAATTCTGTATGCAGAGTGTAAGGGACGACGCGTTGTGGACCTGTTTTGTGAGCATCAATGCAGGGGTTTTCTTCCTTGACATTAAGATATACGGATGAACCGAGATATTCTTTTGTTATAGCTTTCGTGTTTGTAGTCGATTGTGATTGTAGAAGTAGAACAATTATGTCATATAAGTTATTCTTTGTGTGTGCTGAACATGTATCTGTTATTAACTCGATGCTGTCTAAACTCGAAAGTGGAATATGCATCGATTGTTTATTTTACTTTTAACTGGGATGCTGTAAGCTCGACACTGGACTCCTTTAGATGGTGAATTCAATGCCAATTTAAGTCCGACTCATTAGCTTACCCCTAATTCTCACCCCAAATATTGTTGCTTGAAAAAAAAAAAATGACTCGGTTGTGTGCAAAACAAAGGAGCTACTTATATATAACAGATTCACTGCGATGTGGTATTTCTGTTTAATAATGCAATGTCATGCCCAAGAAAACTTACACATTATATTGTATTATCAGACTGAAACGTTACGGTGATGGTGAACATGTTCCATATAAGTCGTTTTTGATACAGGGTTGGAGACCGGGCTAAAATTGAATGAGCTTGAAAATATTATCTCCCCAATTTTTGTTTTATGGGCCTAACAACGGGCTTTGATTGATACAATAAAAAATAGAGTTGCGTAAACCGTAAGGCAGCACATGAATTTCACATCAGAGAGGACGACGGGTGCTTTTAGAAAGAATGAGAAAGTTTAAAGCAATTTAGCAAAGGGTAAGATTAACTGTGTATATAGAGTGCTACTCGTATCTTTTATCGGGGTTCAAAATTGTTGATTGATTTAACTGTGTATATGGGGTGTTATTCTCTAACGCACGCATGATTTATTGTTTATGATTATTTGGTGAAAAAGAGCTACAGCGTTACGTCGACATCGATGAGACATAAGGGCCAGTACGTATAGTGAAGACATCAAGAAACGGAGTTAGAACTTGAAAGCAATTTAGCAAAGGGTAAGATTCTCGGAAGCATTGAGGAAGGAAAGAACAAGTGAATGAGAAAGTTCTCATAAGTTAGAAGGCAAAAGTATTGCCCTACTAGAGAGAAAATTCAGAAACACGATAAGAATCTAGACAAGGAGGTACACCCAAGGAAAAGGAGGAGGAGGTACACTCAAGGCACCAACAAGGACGAATTCAATTCAAAACGTAAGATACTTGAAAGAACTATGGAAGGAAGAAACTAGACATGTCTAAAGCAAAGGATCAACAAGGACGAATTAAATTCAAATTGCAAGATACTTGGAAGCACCACGGAAGGATGGAACTAAACTAGTCTAAGCAAAGGATCGAATACATCCTCCAATTCTTGGATGCACCACAACTTAACTTGTCTAAGCAAAGGATCGAATACATCCTCCAATTCTTGGATGCACCACCTTTTTCAAGTTATAAAAAGTTAAACCGACCGACATTTGTTGTCTACCATATCATCCTCCATTGCCCTTGTACTGTAATTTGTATCCGAGAGAGAAATTAAACACTGTGATTAGCTGAGTTGCAGGGAATTAAAGGAATGGCAGCCGAAGTTGTGCTTACTTTTGCTGCGGAGGGAATACTGAAGAAGGTGCTTTCACTTGCTGAGAAAGAATTCAAATTTGCATGGGGTTTCAAAGCTGAACTCGAAAAGCTTAAAGAGTCATTCACTAAAATTGAACTTTTGTTGAATAATGTTGCCGACAAACCACAAGGTAGTATATATTTTTTAATTGTCTTATAATCCCACACACACATGCTACATTGACAAGGTATTTAACTTGTATTCATTCTCTAACAGATCCGCCAATAGAGGCATGGGTGAAGAAACTGAAAGACATAGCTCATGATGCTGAGGATGTCTTGGATGAACTCGAGTACGAAGGTTATCGGCGTAAAGTCGAAATCCAAAACCATATGAAGAAAAAGGTTCTGAACTTCTTTTCACTCTCCAATCCACTTGCATTTCGTCTTCAAATGGCGCCTAAATTTCAGAAGATCAATGCATCCTTGGTGGATCTCAAGAGTGAAGCATCTCTTCTTGGACTAGTTTCCAAGAATAAAGATGCAACCTCTCAGGGGATTAGATGGGGCAGACAAACCGACGCATTCTTTGGCAAAGATGAAATACCCGTTGGAAGGAAAGCTGATGTGTCAAAAATAGTCACAACCTTGACCGACTCCAAATACAATAAAGAAAATCTTGCGGTCATGGCGATTGTGGGAATGGGAGGCCTCGGCAAGACAACATTGGCCAAGTCAATTTACAATGAGGATTCGATAGACAAGTTTTTTGAAAAAAAAATTTGGATTTGTGTATCCGACGCTTTTAACGTCAATTCCATCCTACATCAAATGTTAGAATCTCTTAACTCGGTAAAAGCTCCTTCAAAAGATAACCGGAATGCAGTTCTTACAAACCTGCAAAAAGAGTTGAAAGATAAAAGATACTTACTTGTACTTGATGACGTTTGGAACGAAGATAAAGAAAAATGGGAGCATTTGGTGGACTGTTTGTCAAAGCTCAATTCTTCTGGGGGATCCAAAATTATTGTCACTACTCGCAGTGGCAACGTCGCATCAATTGCAGAAAAGCTACTTCCAAGACATGAGTTGGGAAAACTATCAGTGGATGAGTGCTGGTCCGTCATGAAAGATAGAGCTTTCCCCAATAGCAGTGCTCATATAGCTCCTGAGTTTCAGAAAATAGGAAGGGAGATTGCTGAAAATTGTGGTGGTGTTCCGTTGGTTGCAAAGGTGAGTCCTATTATTACATATCATATATAACATGATATTTGCACATATTCTTTACAAATATTTTCATTTATATTATTTGCAAGATGATTGAATTGAGTTCAAATTTTGAGAGTACAATTTGCGTAGATTGGTTTTCGAAAGGGAGTAAAAACTTCCATGCACACATTACTTACTCATTAGATGATATACAAAAATGTGATCTCTCTAAAATTTTCTTATTGAAAACCAAAATTAGCAACTTATTGATTTGAACTAGGAAGAAAGTGAAAAAACATTAATGCATTACCCACAACAAATCAAGAATAAAACGTGTTTTAACTAGTGGGTATTTTGGCAATTTCGTCAAAAGCCATAATTAATGGAAGCTAATATCATTTTGCACATGGCTTAGATTTTGGTTTTTAGGCAAGGGGATTCAAAATTAAGCAAGCAAAAACTTCTTATTTTATACACGTCCCTGTTTTCTACATTGTTTTAGGATACCTATGAAACACCCTAATCCAATCAACAGATTTTGGGAGACTTCTTGCACAAATAAAAAGTATTGAAGAATGGTAATCATTAAAAACAGTTTCGTAATAATCATATAATGATCATCTTTATAAAAATTCATCCGTTCGGAGTTCCTTTAATTCTATATGTGCATTGAAGATAACCATAGGTCATGTATTTGACTTCAACTTTTTCATGTGCGTTGAAGATGACCATAGGTCATGTATTTTTTAAATTGTTTTAGGACACCTTGGAAAGTTTGAAACTAACTAGAAACTGTTTACTTTCTTTCTTTTAATTTTTTTTGTCCTGTCTTTTTCTCCCTTTTTTTATTTTTTATTTTTTATAAAAATTAAGCCAACAAGATTATTATTAGATGAAATATTTAGTTATGACTAAAGTTATTTCTGCATTGTCTTGGAGACCTTTGAATTTAAATAGAACTATTCCCTCTTTTTCCTTTTTTCATCAACTTTAGTTAACTACGATAACTATAGATCATTATGTGATAGAAACTCTCTAATCCAATCAACAGATTTTGGGAGGCATTTTGCTCACTAAAAAAAGCATTGAAGAATGGTTGTTGTTTAAAAACAGTAGAATATGGAACAACTTACCGAAAGGAGAAGATGGAATTATGCCGGTCTTGAAGTTGAGTTTTGACAATTTAGAATCATCATCATTGAAGCAATGTTTTGCATATTGCTCAATGTTCGAGAAAGACTTTGAAATTCAAAGAGATAACTTGATTCAACTTTGGATGGCTCAAGGACTACTCCGCGCTTCGCATGACGAAAGTAAAGATATGGAGGAAATAGGCAACGAATATTTTGATATTCTATTGCAGAGCTCCTTGTTTCAAGATGCTACAATGGATTATCAAGGCATTATTAGCACATGCAAGATGCATGATCGTGTACACGATATGGCAGAACTTGTGTCCAAATCTGAAAGCTTGCTGGGAGACTTATGTGGCAGAGATAATACACTTGAGATTCGACATGTTGCTCGGGTTTCTACTTCTACACTGGAAAATATTCCAGCAAGAAGTGTTGGGAAATTCCGCTCGCTGTTTTCCGACGACGGTAAAGTTCCTACTAACATTCTTCCACAGTTCAAAGCTTTACGAGTCCTGAATTTAAGTTACGCTATTATTGAAGAATTTCCAATTTCAGTTGGAAGGTTGAAACACTTGAGGTATCTTGACATTTCTAATACAAGTTTCAGAGCACTCCCCAAATCTATAGGCAAACTCTATAACCTTCAGACATTAAGAGCAACAAATTGTGCCCTTAAGGAGTTTCCAAAAGAACTGCAAAACTTGATCAACCTGAGACATATTTATTTTGATGAGGATATCAAATTCCCAAAGGGGATAAGCCGGTTGAATTGCCTTCGAACATTACCTTACTTTTCGGTGGGTAATGAGATTGGTCATCAGATTGAAGAGTTGGCTGGCTTGAAACAATTGAAGGGTCAATTAATTGTTCGTAATCTGGAGCATGTAAAGAATGGAGAAGAAGCAAAGAAAGCTAAATTAGAGGATAAGACGAAAGTATGTCATTTGGAATTCAAATGGACAGCAGATAGGTTAACAACTGATAACAATGAGGAGGAGGATGTCCTAGAAGGCCTCCGACCATATCCTGAGTTGAAGAGCTTAAGTATTGAAAACTTCATGGGCGTTAAGTTTCCATCGTGGATGATGAGTGGGTCATTACCGCTCAACAACTTGAAGAAGATTCAATTACTTGGATGCCGCAAATGTGAAGTAGTCCCACCGCTCGGTCATCTACCCAATCTTACAGAGCTTGAGATTAGAGGAATGACTAACTTAAAATGTATTGGAGCAGAGTTCTACAGTTATGGTCTTATCCACAATGTAGCCACAACAAGTAAGGAAACAATTACTTTATTTCCAGCGTTAAAAGTATTACATATTTTTGATTGTGGTGATCTAATTGAATGGAAAGAAGCACCGATTATTCCAATTGCACAGAGCATGGCATCTCTACGGGAATTAGAGATTGTAGCTTGTGGACGATTGTCAAGCCTACCGAGTGGGTTAAAGAACTGCACCTCTCTCGAGAAATTGAGTGTAGAGAATTGCGATGGATTATCAGGCCCATTGAGTGTGTGGGCCTCTCTCGTGGAAGTGAGTATAGAGAATTGCAATAATCTGACATCAATTGAAATGAAAGGCGGCGTGTCCCTCACCGCCTCTCTTCAGAAATTGACAATCAGGGATTGCAGTGAATTAGCAAGCTTACCTGCTCTTCCACAACAGTGTCCCTCTCTTCAGGAATTGGGGATATGGGAATGCCCAAAGCTATCATGGTTTGGTGTCAAAAGTGGGAGAGTTGAGGAGGAGGATTGCAATAGTCTTGGACAACTGTGGATATGGAGTTGCCCAAAGATAGCGTCCTTTTGTGCCCAAAGTAGCAGAATTGACGAGGAGTGCATTAGTCTACAATCTACTTCAGACTTGCGCACCATGACCTCCCTTCGACTTTTGACGATTGTAAATTGTGAAAGATTAGAAAGTTGGGTGAGCAACCTACAATTCCCACTCTCTCTTGAGACTCTGTCAATAGATGGTATGCCTAATTTACACATTCTTCCAAGTTTAGACCACCTCCCTTCTCTCCGTACTTTGTGGATTGTAAATTGCCGAAACCTAAAATATCTGCCAACGGGGCTACAGTGGCTCACTGGCTTGGAGACATTGTCTATCGGTGGGTTCTGGGAGGAGCTCGATTCCTTCCCTGATTTTGAAGTTGGATCATTAATGCATCTTAGAGTGTTAACGTTGTTTGGTTGGCCTAAGCTCGAGTCTCTGCCTCAACAAATTCAACACCTCACTTCTCTAACATCTTTGTGGATAGAGTCATTTGAGGGATTGGAGACTTTGCCAGAATGGTTGGGTAGCCTTACATCCCTTACAGGGCTGCTGATTAATAATTGCAAGAATCTGATGAATTTACCAAGTGTCCAAGCTATGCAACGCCTCACCAAATTACAAACCTTGAGGATTTATGGATGCCATCCCCTTCTAGAGGAAAGATGCAGGTGGAACAGCGGCACAGATTGGCCTAAGATTTCTCACATTCCAAATATCGACAGTAAGTTTTAAATTATTGAAATCAAATTAAAGAGCTAACGTTTCTTCTTTTATTTCGTGTCTCCAATAGTACTACACTCAAATTTAAACTAGTATAACACAATTTGTTTATCCTTCTCCCTCTTCTTTTAAATCAGTTCGAGCGCCGAGACTTCCGAGACTTCGGATACAAGAGTTGGATTGAAGCTATGCAACGCCTTGCGATACTACAACAAATGTGTATTGGGAAAACCAAATTTCATGGTGTGCAAGGCCACACTTCTCCGAGATTACTTGTATTCCAATAGTACTACACTGAAATTTAAACTAGTATAACATAATTTGTTTATCCTTCTCCCTCTTCTTTTAATGATCAGTATTCTCGGGTTGAAACTACGCAACTTCTTTTAATGATCAGTATACTTGGATTGAAACTACGCAACTGGAACGATGTAGTGCATTATGTGCAAGCAGAGTCCAGGTACTGAAGCACAAGATATGTTTTTTTACAGAAATGTGGTGTTTGTTGCTTTAGATATTATTTCATCCTTTCATCCCTTGCATGCTAATGACTTTTTATCCCGATCACAATGGCAGTGGTAGATTTACCACATTTGTTGCTTCCATCTCTTGCAGGTTGCTTATTCCATTGGCTCCTGCACACTGAGGAAATTTGTTTATATTATCCCGAGACTTGTTTTCAGGTTAACGATGTTAATATAATACATAGAACTCCTGTAATTGCTTTCTTGTGAAGATTTTAGACTCATAGTTTTCGGGCTACTTGTAATATGCCCAGACTTGTTCTCTCTGTGATTTTAATATACTGTGTTCTGTAATTCTTCTCAACTGGCATTTTCTTCATTAGCTTCAATTGACAATCGAGAATTCCAAATTCCAAGGTACCAGAGGACTTGTAGAGTTTCTCGGTTAATGGCGTGGGAGTACTTATTGTGAATCTAAGTGTTGAACCATGACTGGAATGTTTCTTCAAGATGTGAGAAAGATTGAAATTTGTTGTTTATATTTTTCTTTAAGTTGTTTTGGTGTTATCTCTGTACTGGGATATTGGGATTCCGATCAAAGCTCATGGGTGGATCAATATCATTCTTCAACTTCAATCATGTTTCCCTAAAGGTACTGAGAGATACCCAGTAGTTTTCCACTCGGAAGGCTCGTATCTTTCCTCATGTACGGGGAGTTTGGGAGTTAATTATGGTAGTCTTCTATCCACAGGTTGAGACACAGTGTTGCTTACTTTTTTGTGGATGTGAACGCTGCCAAAGCACTCTTTACGTATCAGCCTACGACATTGTTTCTTCCTGGGTCAGTTATCCACTGACTTTTTCTAAATTCATCTATTTGCATTAGGCGGCTTTGTCAATTGAGAATTCATTTTGATACACTGTGCTGCTTACTCTTGTGCATTCACCCCTTCTTTAGTTTGTGGCACTTCCCTAAAGCGGGTGGAAGCTTCTACGGGCTATCGTGTCTACATAAGAAGAAAATGTCCAATCAGAGATATTGACAAGGTAACATTATTCCCAGTTTTGTTATTTATTAAGAAAAGAAACTTTCATTATTTTCATTTGACGGAGTGGAGACTTTGCCAGAATGGTTGGGTGGCCTTACATCCCTTAAGGAGCTGAGGATTCTTTCTTGCAATAATCTAAAGAGCTTACCTAGTGTCCAAGCTATGCAACGCCTCACCAACTTACAAACTCTATATATTTCTGGATGTCATCCCCATCTAAAGGAAAGATGCACCGAGGACAGTGCCACGGATTGGCCTAAGATTTCTCACATTCCAAATATCGCTAGTGAGTTTTTAAATTCTTGAAATCATATTACAGAGCTCATGTTGCATGTTTTTCATTTTTGTTCTTTTATTCACTACACAAAAATTTAAACTAGTTAACAAGGTTTGTTTTTTCCTTCTCCCTCTTCTTTTAAATCAGTTGAGGTCGTGTATGAAGCTATGCAAGCCTTGCGAAACTACAACAAATGCATTGCGAAAAAACCAAAGTATGTATACAGTTTGATATTCAGGGGATGGAACTTTAAGGGGAATGGCTACACAGTTCTCCAAGAGTACTTGTATTCCATGTTTTATGTACAAACAAATCCAAATGGCTCGAACTTTTTGCATTGAAATTAAGTCATGTAAGCTTTTCAAACCACACCTGCTCTTCTCTTCTAATTGATCAGTACACTCTACAGTTGACTTCTGACTTACCATATATGTTGTGTGTTTCCCACTGGCATCTATATTTCTTTTGGCATGCTGTGGCCGTTTTCAGGATACTCAATGAGTTGAAAGTGAGTCCAAGTGCTGATGTGCAAGGTATTAAATTTCCGTTCACGGTATTCAAATCTTGTTATAAACTTGGAAGGGCAATGCCAAGACTTGCAATCATGTAAAATTATGTTCAGATAATATAAACATAGATTTACTGCAATTGCTTTCTGTTTGTTATTATTCTTACAAAGATTTTTGGGTGAAATTTTTAAGGTTACTTGTGATTTCTGAACAGTTTTTTTTTAATCGCATGATGAACAATGGTTTGGATTCAGTTGATTATTTAATTGCTATTTCATATCCCTTGAGTAACTCGATGAACTGTTAAATGCCTGCATTATTGCAGAAATTAGGTAAAGAATCATCAGTTGGAATGCTAAGTTAGGGATTTTATAATTTGGCAAATTTAAGAAACCTGTGGAAAGGTCTACAAACCCGAAATTGATAAAATTCACCATTGGCAGGTTCGGGGAGGAGCTCAATTCCATTCCTGATGTTCAAGGTTGATCATTGCAGCTTGAATTATTACATTTTAAAGGGTGGCCAAAGCTCAAGTCTCTGCCTCATCAAATTCAACACTTTTCTTTAACTGGTTTATATATCAACTACTTGAGGGACTGGAGACTTTACCAGACTTGTTGGGTAACCTTACATCCCTTATAGAGCTGGGGATTAGGAATTGCAAGAATTTGATGAATCTACCCTTTGCCAAAGCTATGGAATGCGTCCCCACTTTACTGTCGGAGTGAATTAAGCAACGTAAGTTTTTCAAACTCCACCTCATTTCCTCTTCTAGTAATTGAGTCAACTTGCTATATATGTCGTGTTTCCAATAGGCATATATAACTCTTTTAGCATCCTTTGGCATTTTTCATGATGCTCTTACTCAACTGGAACGATGTAGTGCAGTGGGTACAAACAGAGTCCAAGTAGTGTAACACAAGATATGTTTTTCCATAAAAGTGGTGATTGTTGTTTTAGATATTGTTTCATCCTTCTTTCAGCCATTGCATGCTAGATTTCTCATTCTACCTTGTTCGGTAATATACTTGCCTTGCAGTCGTTTTCAAGCTAGGATGTAATTTCCGAATTGGATCATGACGTTGTTGAGAAATATATTGAAATCGAACCGGATTTGGTTGTTCAGCCATAAGTCAATCACAATTAGTCACAGAGCTAGACTAGTTCTGATTCTGATTCACATTGTTTTGTTCCAAAACCTTTTAAGTGGAATTTTGCTTCTGGCCAGATTGTTATCTCAAAGTTATCGGCTAATGATTTTTTATCCTGATCACAATGGTAGTGGTACATTTATCACATTTGTTGCTTCGATCTCTTGCAGTTTACTTACTCCATTGGTTCCTGCACAATAGTGATACTTGTTTTCAGGTTAACGACGTTAATATAATTTATGGAACTCCTGTAATTGATTTCTTATGAAGATTTTAGACTCATAGTTTTGGGGCTACTTGTAATTTCTACATCATATGCACAGTGATTTGAATTCTGTTGATTTTGTTTGTAATTGATATCGCGCGAGTAACTTGGTGAACTGTTGAGTGATATTTTTGTGAGAGTACCAATATGAAATGTTCATTTTGTAGCAAGCTCATTGGACCATGGTATCACTCATGAGAGTCTTCGAGGGGTTTTTTACTTTCATGGAACTCACTATGCCTCAGCGGTGGCAGGTTATGTTGTTGAAGAAGTAAAATTGCAACATATAAAGTAAGCGAGTTTTTCTACTGCGGTCATATCAGGCTATATGTTTTAAGGACAAGGATTATCTGCCCTTCCACTTTCAGTGCACTCCCATGCCCTCCTGTTCGTGTGGTCAGTTAAGCCACGTTAACATTTTATATTACTATTCATTTTTGTCTAATTATCTCTATAAAAAAAATATAAAATGTTGACATGTTTTAACCGTGACCACACAAAACAGGAGGGCACCGAAAGTGGAAGGGCAGACAATCCTTGTCCATGTTTTAATATACAGAATTAGTATGAAAATTAATACTCATGGTAATTTCTTCCCTGCAGCTTTAGTTTGCTGTTGGTGACTTGGTCATATACGATGCGGGGTGACTTAGTTGTTCATTCTTCAGCGGATTACCTTCGGCTCTACAGGCCCAGACTTGTTCTCCAATTCTTCTCAACTGGCATTTTCTTGTTTCTTCAACAAATTCTTTTCAAGTGGAATGTTTCTTCAAGATGGCATGTGGTCTAATATTCTGGTGGATAGGATGTTAGATTTCTACTCATGCATTCCGGATTCGAAACTCTCCATTTCTGTAAATTATTGTAGTAGTTTCGAATTCCTCCCTCCCCCTCCCTAATAATCGTCAATTTTCTTTCTTTCTTTTCAAATGTTTCTTCAAGAACATTGGGTAAATTAAATTTTACCACCTTGGAGAAGAACATAACGTATGTCAGGAGGGTTCTCCTTCCACCAACTCAGAATCTTAGAGAAGAACTTTTCATCTTTAGTTTCATTTGTGTTCCATTCTAAATCCATTTCTTTACGTTCCTTTGTCTTTAACAAAAAATATGAATCCTAAAAACTAAAATAAATTCGTTAGCAAACGGGTTTTAGATTGATATTTTTATGAACTCAAAAAGATTATGCCAAAAGAATGCAAATGATTCGAGTCCGACGCAACAAATAATTTGATATTGCATGAGTATTTCTTCAGGATCCGATACATTTATTTTCTTTCTTGGATTGGTAATTACCATGTGGGAAGTTGATATGAGTAAAGAAAGCTATGTAATTAAGGCATTTTGGACTAAGCCAGGTAACAAAAAAAGGAAAAATTCTATAACGGTTAATTGACTGTATCACGAACCAAGTGAATGAACAACTGAATATGTAGTCAAATATAACTAAGAATCACAATATATACTATATTCCTACCCATACTAGAAACTAATATAATCGACTAGCAATCTAAATTTGACATCCCGTGGATTAAGGTACCGTTTGGTACATGGGACGGAACGGAACAGAGTGGGACAAGGCGTTCCGTCCCACGTTTAGTGCGCCTAAAACGGATGGAACGAGCTGTTCCACGGGACGAGTTTTGGGTGAATTTTTGTTCCGCCTCACCCCCTGGAACGACTTGTTCCACATCCGTGGAACACAAAATTATAACATCTCCGTCTCCTTCTTCTTCCTCCTTGTTTCCATCCGAGGGCATCTTTGCTCCCGCTCCATTCCTTTCGTCCTGTCCGGTCCTATCCCGTCTCATTCTGTTCCGTCCCGTCCCATCTGCATACCAAACGATAAGGTCTTAAGATGAGTGTAATGTCGGTTATATAAAAGGTCTTTTGCACGTGGATAATAATGTGATTAAAATAGTTGTCAAATGGTTGTTTTTTTTTTTTTTTTTTTTAACAAACGATATTATCTACACTAAGGGGGAGGGGATGCGCTTAGCCTCCCAGTGGACTGGCAATAATGTGATTCAATCAGTTGTTTATTAAATATTATTTTCTCTTTTCTTAATGTAAATTATATAGAGACCGATTTTATTATGTGGATTCAGTTGATTTAATTGGTTTATAAGATGTTTATTCTAGCATGATTTAACATTATTTATTTACTTCAAATATTTGACTTTCTTTTTGTCAATTTACGCATATAAATACATTTAAAATGTGTAAGTTGCACATAGCATATCGTGATTTAAAAAATATTTTCTGCACGTATGTAAGCACGTGCATGAAGGCTAATATGTATAAATGCATCTATATAAATCGATATTATTACATTTCAATTCATTCCTGATACCTCCAAAATAAAACTCCAAATTGTATCTTAAATCGACGGAAAACCAAAAACAAGTTAGGGTGGTGTGAACAGCTACTATGTTCAAGGAAATGAAGTCTGTGTGGGAGTCAAACATTATACGGACAATTTGGTAGACAGTACATGTTGTTCTGTAATTCACTGTTATGATCAGATGGTATCGTCTTCAATTTGAAGTAGGATTTTCTCTTCTCCTATTACCATTACCTTCCATCCCCTCCTCTCCTCTCACACTCTTCTTTTTGTCTTATTCCCTATATAAAAAATTCAAAACAAGATGTAGACGTGGCATAATTGCAACTGTTTAAATAGGAAGGGATGGAAGGAGAGAGAGATTAGAAGAGGAGAGAATCCTACTCCCTTCAATTCTCCATGGCTTTGAGAGAGATTTTGACTGAAACAAAATATGATACATCACGTATTATTATACAGATGATAGAGTACGTGCGTTAAAAGGCTAATAACCTAAAAAATAAATTTTTCTATCACCTATAAAAAAAATACATAATGTATTATTTGAATTCTAATTACAAAGAAAAATTTCTCTATAATTTCATTCATGAATGCGTGACGACGTAATACTCAAAAGCGTGTACACAGTAATAAATTTGGACATATTTCTCCATTAGGTGCACTGCACTTGGGTCACAACCAGGAACCCTAGAAAGTTAAAAAGTTCCTCACAGCTTCACATCTATCTTTATATCTTGGAATTATAGCGGCTGTAACTAGATCTTTACGAGCGGTGCTTTTCAATTTTTTTATTTTTTATTCTATTTTTTTTACACTTTTAACATACTTCTATCAATTTTTAATCGTCAGATCAAATAGATAATAAATGTGTGAATAATATTATTTATTCTTACTTTGTAATGGGTAAAATACTTGCAATAATTATATTTTATCTATAAATTTACCAGAAATCGAAAGCTTTTCAAACTAGCTACTAGCTTTAGAAAGTTTTTTCAGTTGATAAAAGACAATATCATTATACTAGGGCGCTTAGACCTCAAGACCAAGTATAAATGTTTTTAACCACTTGAGTCGTAAGTTTTATGCACCTAATTTTCGAACATTATCCTATAAATATTGCCACTTTTATTAACCTTGAATACTTTAAACATGACTTACTTGTTTTAGTTGGTTTGTCATAGCACTGAGCTTATAAATTTTGAATCAAAATAGTCACGTAACATGGTTAACCAGGCTATCGAAGATGCTCTAGTGATGTGGACTAACCCAATTATCACAAGTAAGAATATTGGTATGTGGTGACATTTTAGATGTTGTAAATTTGTTGTCACTTTCTCATAATTCATTTTAGAATTATCCCAATCATAAGAGGGCAGAGTGGCATAGCCGTATAGGTTATTTTTTGTGGTGTTGGAGATGGATAAGATCATAAGAGGGCAACTGTGCATGTCCTTGTCAAACTTTGCAATGCCAGGCGTGGCTTCAACAGTTCCTTGTCATGGACTGGAGAAAATTTTGCATCACTACGTTAAGAGACCATTTTTGCTAGTGACGAATTATTATTAATAATTATCCCATATATGAAAAAAAAAAAATTGTCGTAAATAGTTTTTCTTCCGGTGGGTGCTTTGGTTTACTCATGAGCAGTGTGTTTTAAAAGATCCCATCTAGACGCTAGATAGTTAACTACGGCCACGATTAATCCTTAAGTAGTTAATGAATAGGGTAATTCTCATTTAATTACTCTGAATTATTGTGATTTTCAAACTTTCATATATCAAGTTTTTATTTTTTTATTTTTTATTTGCATCTCAAACTCATACCTAAAGTTTGAATTTTGTGTCACTTTCATATTTTCTGTCAACAACTCAGTTAACTGATGACATGGCATGCCACTGGACTATGACTGTGCAGAAACGTGACACTTCTCCTGCAACTCTTGGATCCACTTCTTCCAGCAACTCGAGGAGGGCGAAATCCGTTGTGCCCTAGATTCCACCCTTGTCAAGCCCGTCTGCACCTTCAAATCCCACAACGACGCCTATCGATTCTCCACCATCTGCACCTTGACCCACTGTATAACTGATCGGAAACTCGCCCTTTTAGCATCCCAAGGTTGGAAAATTCGCTCAGCCTCCAGAAGTCCCATAAAAATATATTGAAATGGGTCTGTTATTTAGGTTTGTTGGCCCATGTGGAACTATACCTGATAAGTTTAATTTTTGAGATTTGTGTAGTAAATAAATACAACTTTCAATATTTAAACTTATATAACGATAATAAATAGGATGATGATAGTGTGAAAAATACACCCAAATGTAATTAGATTTCTTCTGCGTGTGTTGCATTCTTGTGGGATCCACTTGATTAGATTCACACCAGACATCTAAACCGTTCCATCGCTTTCGCGGTTTTATTTTGATTTCGTAAGTCTACTCCCTTTTCATTTGTTGTTTTGGTGTAAACCAGTAAATATGTAATGGGGTGAGATTGTATCTGAGACCCTTCAGTGGCAATGGGTCGGACCGGGTCAAGTCGGTCAAGTCGACGTACTGATCGGGACAAACTGGTAAATCCAACGCGACCGCTTTATTAAATTAATACCCTGACACGACTGGCGTAACCCGTTTATTGAATAAATTGGGTTGAATTGTTAATTAGGTTAACTTGTTAAACACATTTAACCTGTTTAAACCATTTAGCATACTCAAACTCTGTTACCCTAGCCTATTTAATCATGTATTCAATTGATTACATTTTCATATTTACCAGCAGGTCGCGTTAGCAAGTTGAGTAGGTATCTTACGATGAGACTGAAAATAGTACACTTACAAAGTCTAGCATGTTTGACACGATTCATTTATTAAAATAGGTTGAGTAAAGATTAAACACATTCGTAAATTGTCCTAAATTCACCCGTTTATTAATCGTGTCTGGGTTGGTTGACCCATTTTTACCTGCATAAGTTTTGTGTGCTCGGAATTCGAGTTTATGACTCGTGTTTGAATTTGTCACCTTTACAATTACAACTGCAAATCTAACTTCAAGTGCACTAATATCCATGTCTATACAATTATTTGAGACGATTATCGTTGCTAACCTCAGTATAAATACAATTTTAACTAGGTCATTCCCTCTTTTTAACGCTTTTAGCTAGTAAATTTAACAGCTGCGAATATAGCATGGTAATTGTAAGGAAATATGTTAAATCAACTAATTTCACACGTCTCATTTCCTTTCTACATATTATTTTTTAATGTATGCGCATGCATAACATATGACATCCTATCATTTAAAAATACGGTTTAGTGGTTTTCTTCTTCATTTGTAAATGAGATCTCTTAGGTTCAATTCTCACTAAAGGCGAATTTAAACCACATTATTATTTGTCACTGTGAGACTTATCCCATTCTTCCATCTCCTTAGTGTAGATAATGTCATTTGTTTCAAAAAAAAACATGTGACATCTTTTAAGTATCTATTAACAGAGAAACAAGGATAAAGAGATCCAAATAATATAATCGCTCTTGTAAGTACCTATTTTTGAGAGCCTATAATCTTCTACAATCATTATATAAGTCGTCCTTACCAACCGTATATAAGCAATTTTTCCATGTTGGATTGTTTAACATGTTATATAATCAACCATCATCACGTGATTTAGTAATTGAGGACGAATTTTAGATCAGTATTTTACATGGTATGTCCTGA